TATAAAGGAGACGCGCCCACCCCCCCCCCCCCCAAGTAGAAAATGAATTATGTGTAGCCCATCAGCATTACAGAGGGAACAAAAAGAACAGAGATTTGCCTCTTTTTCTGGTTACTAGCCCTGGACCTGTGACTAATTTCCCAGATAGTATTTCAGTTTCTCCTTCTGCAAAATGGCTATGTGATCTCATAAGGTGTGCTAGAAGCTTAGTTACCAATGTGTAACTGGATTTGGGATAGTAATATGAAGAGCACTGTGTACATGACTTTCATGCACTAAAAAGGACTGGAAAATAGGCTTTTCACAATTAATGACTTGTTTTGAGAGTTTAAAGGAGAGTTACGGTGTGTAGAGGTCCTTTGTCAACCATGTGTGCAAATAAGTATCAGGGTCTGGTAATCTGTGTTTTCTGGGCTGGTTCCACTGCTAAAGCCACGTGCCTGATCTTAACCTGTGCACAGAAGGAGAACCACACATTCAAGATGAAGCCTGTCATGCAAATCTCATAGCAGAAGGTCTCCATGCATAGGAATTGTCTGGAAGGATGCTATAGGAAATCAATTATGTTTTAGTATTAGGACAACACTGGGGACCAAAATATGGTAAAGAAGCACAGGGAAACAGTTATTGCTTGAAAACTCACTTTTTTCTTCTCTGTCTTTCCTTTAACCTGGAATGATAGATATCTACAACTGCAATCTTCAGAGCTGCAAAATAATTAAAAAAAAAGATTACAGAATACATAAGTAATCACTGTATTAGGCTAATTTTCAAGCCTTTATGTTCATGGTAGGCTGACATGGTCACTCTACTTTGCTGTTTTAAAAATCCTGTGGTAATTTTACAGGGCCATAAACTCACTAGAGGCTAACCGTCTGCAGATTATACATACTACCTGTAGAAGCTTTCTTTTGCTTAGTCCTTCCAGATACACTACTGCCTGTAAATATGAACCCGTGTAGATCCTGACAACACTTTCCCTCTTCCTTCTTGGACTGTTTTACTATTAGCACTTATTTGTTCCTTCATACATGCAATTGTTAAGTATTCCTCCTCCTGAAAAGCAAATTTATCAGATTTAAGGATCTGAGGTATCATCTTTGGACAAAGGCTTCTTTGCACAGAATGAGGAACTCCAAAAAAATAGACACAGTTCTGAACTGTGAAGATTCAGAATAGCCTTTGCTACAGTTCTTAAAAACATCTACAAAATTTTAGCTTGTTAACTTCTAAACTTATCTGTCTGCCAGAATAACAAAGAGAATAGTTCACAACAGTGAAGAAGCACAGGAAAAAGCCATGCTCATTAGAAATCATATCCTTTTCAAAATCAAATCTATGTGCAGCCTGGCTGATCCACTTGGAGATCCTTTAGCTTCTTTTTCCTGTAACCATTAGGTTAATAAACTTTTTTGGTAAGTCCTTGAAAGAAAAGATAAGGAGACTCCTATCACCTTCCCTTCCCTCATTTGGTTAACTAATGCAAAAATTCTAGGTCATTAAATAAGCATACAGTTGGCTGATTTCTTGGTTGGCTCTTTTTCCTTTACGTTAATCATTTCAATATGCTCTCGGAAGGAAGAGGCTTAAGACTTGACAGTGGATTTACAGTCTGTAGAGACAACATGCAGTTCTTTGAAACTAAGCAAAAGCACGTCCCCTTTCAGCCCACGGTGCTGTGTAAACAGGGGGCGGCCCAAGTGTGACAGAATCCAGAATCCACTCCTTTCTCTGTAGTTACAAAAAAAGAGCAAAACTGATACTGGCAGTTTATTGATTGCACCCTCCAATAAATAATTAATAAGGCAATTAAAAAAGAAGTGTGGTTATGTGTCTATTTTAAAATATGTATTTATATGTAAACACCAGGAAGCCCCTAGCCTCTAGGCAATTCATCTGTGCAGTCCTCTGGGTAATAAAATTTCTTATGAACAGGGACAGCTAAAGCCCAAAAGCTGTGTGTATTAGCTCAGGAGCCCACAGTTTTGAGTTACACTTGCTGATCCTGTATTAGCAAAAAAAAAATCTTCAATTTATACACAACTAATTTGATGTTAATCTAGGAGCAAAAGATTACATATGAAGATAGGAGGGGTGCTACAATAGTCTTGCTTCTTTTTGCAAATTTCTTGCAAAACCAGAGTGTTCAAGAATCATCATGTACTTTCATGAAGATGTATTTACGTCTCCTAATTTAAGAACAAGCACAGGTAGCAAATTCTCCTTCTTGCTTAAATGTGGGGACAAGAAATTGGGAAATGCAGCAAGTTAAACATGAATGAAATAGATTAGCAAGTGTTGGAATTGGTGCCAAGTTATGGAAAAAATTTTTGTATTTTTAAACCCTCTGCAAGCTAAGCTAACATGTTATTTTCTGGGGTTTGTGTGGGCAGAACTTAATAAGTACATGCAGAAATTGCATTGGGGAACCTCTATAAATATCACAAGTAATTATGCACCTATAACCATTGCATTTTGATGCTTTCACCTGAGTGCACAATATTCTGAAAGAAATTATGATCAACTGGGGAGGGGAAGGAACGTTCATGAGAACAAATGAAGGAAAAAAATGGAGCTTCTGCTTACAGAAAAATTAGTATTTGCTGCCACATGCACTTTTGGAGGGGCTTTTGTTTTTAATAGACATATTCACACAGGAACAGCCGATTACAAAATCTGGAATGCATGAATAACTCAGACTACTATACAGTTACATGCTGCATTGAAATGAGAAAAGAGATGCTGTACGAATGAAAATGATTTGCCTGTGCTTTTCCCCATGGATTATACTAGGGAGGCAGTTGTTTGTACTGGTAACCTGAGATAATCCAAGCTGACCGTGTTCAGAGTGTCCATTTTGGGAAATGATAAGGTTCTTTGAGATGGTCAGAGTTAGCTTTGAAGGATCCAGTGATAGGCAGAAATTCAAGGCTCCTTTCTTCATTCCAAAAAATCAAAATATTTTGGTTTCTCAAGACTGTGTCCAAAACAGTTTCTTTGCTTTTCATTCCCCTTCAGCCTCATTTGGTCTGCAAAAACTTTTTTGAACACTAATGAGTGAGACCTTTGTTTCATGCTAGCTAACCTGTTTGGCATGCAAGGCCCAAATAATGGGAAGAATGCAAACTAATCAAAGTAAACAGGCTGTGTATCCAGCGTGTGCCTTGGTTGGTACAAATTTAATGGCTACAATCCAAATTCATCCTCCCTAGAGGAAAGCAGGACCCTAGGCAAACAGAGTATCTGCCTTCAGAGCATGTCAGGAATTTCCACAAAAGAATAAACATCATGTAATATTTAGAAGGACATTGACTGCCTTGTATCTTATAAAATTAAATTTCACTACTGTACAGCCAGAGTTGCAGTCTATTTTCACTCACTTCTAAACTTGTGGTTTCTGCAATTACTTTCCAGTGTTAGAAGTAAAAACCATTTACATGAGGAGGAAAGGGGAGAAAAAGCCAGGAAAAAAGATAAATGACTAAGGTTATAATTCGGTCTGATGAAAACTTGTAATTCATGAAATATTCAAGCACTCTGGCCTGAATTAGATTTGTAACTAGTTGTTTCTTTTGATCTGTCCATTATGTTTTTGTTTAACTGCAATATATATTTGCATGCACTTATTATATTGCAAGTACTGAATAAAAATTAACAGTTCAAGAAGTTAATTGAAATATGAGAGATTTCATACAATTTCTACCATCTCACTAATATCAAGAAATGACTGAACAAGGTCTGTGACCTCCTGTGTGGTGGGAGGAGCTGGTGAGTCAGCAGGTACAGGTTTCTGTGTTCCTCATAAAAGGCTGCCTGGGAGTCTTTCCACTGTGTATTAAATTGCACTCTTCTTTCTTGTGGGAATACCGAGAACTTGTTTAGAGTGACACAGGAAAATTTAACAGGGAAAATGCAATGATATCAGGAAACAGAGGTCAAGCAGCTTAGATCTAGAACTTTTAACAAAATGATTTCTACAAAATTTTAAGAAAAGCAGAGCAATGTGGAGGAAAGGGAAGAAGGGGGAATTCTGTTCCAATGAAAGCATCAAATATTCCTGTGTTATGTGAAACCTAGACACTGCAGCACTGATCTGTGACTTGTGAAAACGAAAGGAAGAGAGACCATAGAAATTATTCTGGTCGGTGTGTTCTCAGGGTCTGGCTTGAGTAACTTTCAGAAAATGGAATATAAAAGTAATTTTCAAAAATTCATCTTGAACCCAGTGAGGTTTAATGTATGGCAGGAAAACAAACTGAGGATTTTTTCACAAACCTGATACTTAATCTATGCTGTAAGACCCCATTTGTGTTTCTCTGGGCTATAAAGTGTGTTAAAACCCTGTTTTGTATCTTTACCTTTTAAAAAAAAAAAAAGTTTGCTGTTTGGCCAGCAAAAATATGTCTTGAGCAGGTGTGGAAGACAGCCACAGGGCTGCTTTTCAAGGACATTTCTGTAAGATCTAGTGTAAGAAGTTTGCCAGTGGGCAAGGCTGGGGTAGAGAGGCAGGTTAGAGCCGCTGCCTGAAGTAGTGGGACAGGGACTCTTGGGAGAGATTACGAGAACCTGGGCCTCTGGGGCTGCCTCACAACCTCCTCTGCCTGTTAACTAGAAAGCACAAAGGTTTCTTAAATCATCCAAATGCCCGTCCCTGCCTTCAGATCCAAATGTTGAGCCATTTTCTACAGTATGAAATCCTACAATTAGGTTGCAAAATATTCTCAAGCAATCAAGCAAAATCAGCTTCTGAGATCTTTAAAACTGCAGGACAGGGAGGATGTGGCTCATTCCTTTTTTTGTATTAACTTGGAGAAGGGAAAGATCTAATTCCAAAGTTCTTTAGAAAATAATTCTTTCTCTCCCCAAGATGCCTCATGTAAAAGAAAAACAGCTGGCTAGACCCTGGGACTTCATTTTTTAGAGGCAGTCTCTCTCCCGTGGGCAGATCTAGGACAGCTGTGGGAAGGAAGATGCCAGAGTTCTTGAGCTTAAGAGATCAAAAATGTAGTTGGTCACGCTCCATAACCTCTGCCAAACAGTTTTCACAGGGCAAATGCCTGACATCCTATACTAAATACTGAAGACAACTGAAGAATGGACTAGAGAACATCCAATGAAATTATCAGGCAAAAGATATGACAGACAGAAGGAAGTATTTTTTCACACAACACGTAATTAAATTGTAGAACTCCTAACTCAATTGTGGAACTCACTGCTACAGGATGTTATGGGGGGCAAAAGTACAAATATATATAGTTCTAACAGTAGTTAGCTAAGTTCATGGAGGACAGGTCCTTTGGTCAAAATGGTCTGAACACAACTTATGGCTCAAGAAGTCTCTAAACTTACCACTGCAGGAAATGTGGAAGATATGCCAGGAAAAGTGTCTGCCTATACTTGCCTTTTCTTACATTCTTCTCCTGTGCATCTCCTATGGGGTACTAACAGGACACTGAGCTAGACAGACCGCGGCATCTGGCCCTGCATAGCTTTATGATACTCTAAAGAGATGAGGAAAGCTGATTTTTGCATTCACATTGATAACTTAAACAGGAGGCTGGTAAGAGATACCTTAAATGGCTGAACTGTGCAGTGGAAGACAGGTGTGAGGGGTATGGAAGACAGTGCTGGTAAACCAGCTTGAATGAATATTAAGCTATCAATTAATGAACAGAGCTAGGAGATTATTTTGCTTTTTCAGTTTACCAGGACTCAGAATAGGACATGGAAGCAAGAAAATGTATCTTTTAATAGTAATAAAAAGAAACAGTAGAGAGATGGCATGATGAATATGTGGCATGTCCGCAAGCCAGTCCCCTTTTCAATAAACATTAAAAGGGGAGAGAGACTGACATACGATTCTCATAACCTTTTTTGAGCCGAGGGAGTTTGCATTCCTTAAAGCTCTGTGTACACTGCTAAATTTCAAACTGATTTTTTAAGTTGGGAGAGACTGTCTGTACATAACAGGATTTGTCTGTCAACAAGGAATGCTAAGGCTTTAGCTTAGATCTGCCTGACATACATGGGAGAATTCTGAAGCATAAACACAGTACTTTTAAACGCTCTATGTACTTACAAATGTGGGGAAAAGTATGATCCTCTCTGTGGATTAAAATATCATTTTCATAACTCCTGTTATTGGTATTATTAAGGCAGCTACGTTCGCAGAAACTCAGTAGCAGCAATTGGACTCATACAACAACTGTCCTCTTTGCAACAAAAAAGTTGTCACATACAGCTAATGATACCATAACTCAGTGTCCGTTTTAATGCATGAAAACCCACACAACTTCAAGAGTAGAACAGTTTCAATGAGTTGCACATAGTCTTAAGCTATGTAACTCCTTGCTGCCTGCATTAATACCTATCCTGATATCAGATTTCCTGAACTAACAGAGGTTAGAATAAGTGACAGATCTTCTAAGAAACTAGATATAGTAGGGGAAAGGGGTATTAGCAACGGAGAAGAAAGTGTTCCTCTGTCTGAATCAGAACAAAAGTTGTGCCTTGCTATGATGCTCTCAGACGTTATGTAGATGAAAACAATATCTTTCAGCAGGGGAGGGGAAGTAATATCAAGGCGTTGATGTTTCTGTTTTTTAATAGGCCTGTAGATCTGTTTATTCAGACACTGATGTACTGCTAGCTGCTTCCAGACAAATTGCTACCTCAGATAATTTGCTTCTACTTAGCTGAACCTTCTCTACTTAGCTGAACTTTCTCTACTTAGCTGAACTTTCTCTACAGTTTATACTGGATAAAACATCATTTGTGTCTTTCCTAAAGAGATGCCTGCTACTGGTGGAGACTGTTCGATTTCAGTCATGTTCTGCTTTACAACTGGCTACATTTCAGCAGTGAGTGAAGTGCATTATTCTATATATAAGTACCATTTGTCCGTTAGCTGATTAAGAGCTTTTGGAAGAGATTTGAAAGTGAGGCCTATAGAAATGCCAGTGTTTAAATCCCAGCACACAGAAGTGAGATAATTAAAAATGTATGTTCACTTTTAAAAAAGTGTGTAGAGAAAAAGAGACCCAATGAAATGCTCTGCAGGCACTCTGAAACATTGTTTTCAGACAATGTACAAAAATATGGGACTTACCATGCAAAATGTCTGAATCATCTTCTACAAAATCAATATCTCTCAAATCCCATTCAGCATAGTTGTCAAACTCCTGTTCAGAGGTGATTAATAAATTGTCACTAACTGGCACTAAAAAATTGGTATCAAGTTTCAGTACACATAGAAGTACGGAAAACAGAGATATTTACTCATACGCAGTTGTACAAGGTTCCATCCTTGAGCAACATACATCACAGGGGAGTTTTAACTAAGAATGTATAATATGCACCCCCATGGCTGGAACTGGAACAGGATGCTGTGATAGGATAATGAGAATCAATCAGGTAATCTCCATGACTCCCACCCTGTGGTGGAAATTCCACTCAAATGTACAAAAACAACAAGCCCCTATACGGCTGAATTCATTACTTCATGTACAGGAGCTTGTTTTGCCACAGGAATTGGGGCCCCGGGCCCATGGCTAAAAACACTGAAAACAATGCAGGTCTTTCAAGTGATCTTTGGATCAGGCTCCTGTGTGCTTCTCCGAGGCAAATGAAATAGAAGCGTGCTGAAGCTGACCCCTTTTGCTGAGCATCTAATTCACCAACATCCAGTCCGCTTACGTAAGAGCCATTCATGGCTGGACATCTGGTGGTAGCAGCATGCTGTACAGCCCGTCCAGACACAGCCACTGACTCACAGATCGCCTGCTAGCAGCTTCGTGGGCCTGCAGCGCCTCCTCTCTAATTAAATCCTTGGTTTAATCACCCCGTCCTGTCCTCTCGTCTCATGTTTTTTCTATAAAGACCTATAGGCAGGGGCAAACAAGCGTGCGTTTGCTGACCTTGTGTTCAGTAGCAGATTTAAAATAATGGGAGAAGAGAGAGTCTTACCTCAACGAAGTCAGCTCTCGCTGGCATGTACCCAGCCATATCCCTGGAGAGCAAGGAATCAAAAGTAGGCCGTGGGGGATCATCAGCAGCTGAAAAAATAAAGGTTTTTAGTTGTTGTGTAGGGCTTGGGGCCTTTTTTTAACAGAAAACAATCTGTAAATAGGTGTTTCTTTTGCAGGAAAAGTGGGAATAATTAGTTGAAGAAAAACACCCTGATTGGGCTTTTATTCAGCGTTATATTCAGAAAAGACTGAGTTCATCCACAGAAAAATGCAGTAATTTGAGATCTTCATAGTATTCTCAAAAGTAGGTAATAAATAGGTTATAAAATGTAAACTCTACATTTCAGAGCTCAGCATCCCCCCGGTAAACCTCTGCAGATCACTCCGACTCAGCGTGCAGGTTCTTTTAGTTAATAGCAACAGGGGTGTTAAATCTGCCATCTTCTGGGTGCCATTTACAGAGAGCTGCAATTAAAGCTATACAACTCTGAATTTTTACAGCGCTTCCCAACTGAGGAGCTCAGTGTTTTACAGACAATAATGGACCAAGGCTCACAACACACTTGTGAAGGAGCTAAGCGTTATAAGTCCCATGCTACAGATAAAGCAAGCTGAGGCACAGAGAATTTGTCTTGGCCCAGGTCACATAAAAAAATCAATGACAGCCAGGGACAGAACCAAAATTGTCCAGTTCCTACTGCTTTAGCTCTAACCACTTTATTGTGAAATTTAAACCTCCAGATACCAAGAAATCTTTTTACCTAGCCATTCTGGGGAGCTTTGTAATGGAACAGCTGCTAGACTGGGGGAATTCTAAAGATGTTAAATTTAAGGAAAACTGAAAATTTGTTAAATTGCTGAAATTTAACATACACTTTTTAAAAGGTAGTTTTAAAGAGAGAGGTGTGAAATCAGCATAGTTTAAAGGGAATGATTTTATGACAAGTCACATCAGCAGTTAGGCCCAGTACACAGCAGATAATCAGGTGAAATGTTTTAAAGGTAGAAATCCCTTCTCAGTTAACATTGCTATGCAGGGTCTGGACAAGACACGTAACCGCCCCAGCATCAGGGTGAGAACTCACACTGGTATTTGCCACGAAGGACACGCTGTTACGCTTCACTGTGCCACATGTGAAGTAGCTTTGAGGTAGCTTGTCCTTTAAATAAATACGCACATCCAGCCTTTTGCTGTGGTGATGTCTGTGAGTGACCATTTCCACTGGCTGCGCAGGAACTTCTGGTTTTGAGAACCCGATGTTTGTTTCAGACCACTCTGTTCCCTCCCTCTTCCCACTGAACTGGCAGTCTGGTTTATTTGATACACCGACGATTTAATACAGTGTGAAGAAAACCCTACTACTAACATTATTCAAGTTAGCCATCAGAACAAGCTCTCCTTTTCGGAATGAAAGCAAACTGCATGTGTGGTGCATGGCTTTCTCCACAGGCTGCTCATTCCAGTTTTGGAAGAGCAGAGATCTTGCGGGGAAGCTCCCTGCACGTGCTAGCGGGCAGGGGATACTCACGGTGGAAAGGAATGGCTGTTTCGTTGTGCTGCGCCTCCTCCGCCTGCTTCAGGTTCAGTAATGTAGATGCAAACAAGGGATTGTTGATAAAGTGTTTCATATAATGTTTCTCACACTCCTCCTTGGATTTTGTACACATCTGGTTGGCTACATCCTGCCTAAAGTGGGGAGAGGGGGAGGTTTAATAAGAAGAAGACAGAAATGTTAAGGGTGTTTTTCTTTCTCTGGTGGGAAAAGATCGTTTTGGACAAGAGATTGATCGCATTGTGTGCAGAGAACTGATCTGTGATGATGTCTGAATTCACATTTTGTGTACTAACACTGAGCCAGTACTTACACCTTTGATACAGTGCTAGGGAGCACTTTTTTGGTGGTCATGAGTAATGCAATTCACTGTCTTCACATGAGAAATTCCCTGGCTGATGGAGTGTACCGAATCTTTTATATGCTTGAAATTTAGTATTGTTATTTGAGAGCTTTTTATACATTTTACTAACTCCAGGTAATGGTAAATTCTAAGTCCGGAATTGCATTCTGCTTCTCAGGTTTCTCTTGCAATTTTAACGGGACAGTGGTTTCCCCTTTCGTGTAGTGATGTTAAACAGGTTTTTTTGAAACACCAAAATGGTTGTACAAAATACATTCTAGAAATCTTTGCCAAACTTTCTTGGAAAAGTGGTTGACTAGAAACACGAAGTATTTTGTCTTAATAAAATGGCTGTGTAAGTTGAGGACTTTAAAACAAACAAAAAAATCCACCAGCAGCAATCATTTTAATTTCTGTTAAACTAAAAACTGGATGCAAGGGATTCCAGGAAGAAAAATCAGTTTTTCCTTTATTTGGCAAAGGCTGAAAAAAGCCAAGTGTTTAAGGAAAAAATTAAGATTACTTGTATTGCTAAGTAGGGCAAAGTGTACTAGACAGCATACTTGCAGAACATAACTGCAAACAGTTTTCAGTCTTAATTATGACAGCAGTGTACACCTAAGAACTCACAGTTCTGTTTCAGTGAAGTCTGGAGTTCTATACTTTTAATACAGCTATTTTTTCATGAAGGAGAGGAGAGGTAACTCATGACTACAGATCTCCTTTATTTACAAATGCATAAAAATCCTATAGCAACTACAGAAATTAACTTAACAGAACATAACATAAAAATATTAAATATTTCCACTGCTCTATCCTAAATATGACAGAGAAGCAGGAAAACTCCAAAAATAACAATACCTAGCTAGTCAACTGTAAGCAAACCGAAACCACACAAACAAATTCTGTAGTTGGTTTTTACATAGGAGTAAATTGAGGCACAGAACACCTTGTGCAATAGTTGAGCTCCTTCAAAACTAGTGACTTTAATGCAAACTGAGGGAACTTTGTACTTCACTGGAGGTCCCCTGCATCCCGCAAGAAGCCTTCAACAATTTCCTCGTATATCTAACAGCAGATTTGAAAACAGAATCTGCTACCCCAGTCTTCCACTTCAGCTGCTAAATTAGTGTCTCACCCACAGTAAGTCACTGAACATTCAGTGCGCACTGATGTATTCAACACTAAGATCCAGTGAAATGAAAAGAAAAACCACCCATCATTCACTGAAGCTGGCTGATCTACTAAATTCTCACCAGTTTCCAAATCCACAGTCCATCACAGCTTCTAGGAGAGCCATTTCCTCTTGAGCTGTCCAGTTAGGATCCAAAACAGGGAAATCAGAAGTCTAGAGAAGAAAAAAGCAAATCAAACTGCTGTGATCCTCTGTTATAATCCACCACATGAAAAGCAAAGAAGTTCTAAACTACACGGCACCATAGTATATAATACTGGTAGTTTTAAATTTTTACTGTGTCCCATGAAACCTGATCAAATAATCGTTGAATTATTTAGGCCATTGGGTCATCAACTACAGTAAAAACTAGTTTGTTGCTACAGATCTTCTAAATATACTGTTACATGTTTTATCTACCAGCTGTAATTCAACAATATTATACTATGAAACACAATAAAAATTACTGAAGACTTTTAAAATGATTTATTTGGGGGAAGAAAAAGAATACAGAAGCAGAAGTCGATTAATTTGGTTAAAGAATTGGAAGTCTAGTAGGATGCACTGTGCTACCTAGGCACAATAAAAAAATGTAGCTTTAAATGTCTCCACTATTCCATTATGTGGAAGACACACCCTATTCCATTCCAATATCCAGATGGATATTTTTCTTTGCTCTCAAGGAGACTTTTTCTTTTTTTAATAGTTCTAAGCCTCTGAATCAAAGAATTGTATCACTTAACTTTCCAGTGTAGCATTAGTAAGCAAGGGTCTAACTCCTGGGAAGTTATGAAAGCTCAGCATTGAGTAGGTGTTATCTAAAAGGAATATTTACCATTATCTCGTAAGTATGATCACTTTGATGTTTCTTGTATTCAAATCCTCGTGTGAAACACTGTAGAACAAAAGATTAGCATTATGTTAGTCCCTTACTTCTTCCCTGAAAACAGTTTAACTGGTCCCTTTTTTCCTTGTATTCTCTAACCACTCAGTATCCAAAACTGACCACCTGATATGCTGAAAAAGATATTTGATTTTTCTGATTTCATTTTAGGAAAACCATAAAACGATAGAAAAATCTTTGTTAAAATTGTGTTAAATCTGTCTTTGTATCTTACTTGTCTTTTGCACCAAGACATAACTCCTGTGAATCAACAGAGACATACTTTTTTGTTAAGTATTTATGGCAAAGTTAGGCCAGTGAAAGAAGTTTCGTGGCATGTTTTAAAGTGGATCATTCCAGGAAGAAAGCACAAAGCATTTCCTAAGTATTGAAAACACAGGTTCCCTTTCATCATGTTTAAAAAGCACCAGCATGGTTTGCAGCCATTTTCAACAGTTAAATTTATGGGTTTTTCAGTACAGGTAAATGAACAAAAATATACAAAATATGGGTTTGTGTATTTTGTACATATCTGAGCACAAGGCTAAGCTCCTTTTTCAGTTTTGGAGGTTATTGCCATTTTTTAATCATAAATAATGCAAACTTATTTATTTAATAATTAAAACTAGCACTACTTTCTGTGGTTATCAGATCACACACATAGTTTTTAAAGAACTGTATCTGGTCACAAACAATTATTGTCAATATTGCAAACTTTCCCCAAATTTTCTTTTCCATTTGGCAGGAAAAAACCAACATGTGGTGACAGGGAAAGGGTGTTTCTTGATGGCTTTTCTTCTCCATGCCATAAGAAATGGCAGAAATGATACCTCTCTAGACATGCAGCAGCATGCTCCGTTACACAGTCAGGCTGACTGCATGTCTTTAGGTAGCTTTGGCTGCCTTCACAAAGATCTCCTTCAGCTGCTCCTGCCTCAGTTCTTCAGCCTCCAACATTTTCTTTGTCATTTTCCCTGTCCCTGAGCAAATAAGTGTGTTGATACAAGTTTACAGAGACCAGTTATTAATGTGTTTATGGAACAGCTTGGCACCGGACAGGCCTTTGATGACTTTCTCAAAGAAATTAATGCCTTTGCTTTTATCCTTGCACTCACCTGCAAACACAGGAGGAAGGGAGGAGGCCCACACTCAGCACACTTAACGTAGGGCTCTGTGAGGTACGAAGAGCAACCTCGGCATGGAGGCTTATCAAAAGGGTCATCTGTGAAGCCAAAAGCAAATCTCATGCAACGCAAACAAGGCACTGGTTTTGCAACCACCTAAATTCACTTGTGCCCAGTAATTTTAAGTGAACTCAACTGTATATAACCTCTTTCCTACTGCAGCTTCTCCAAATAGCTGTGAAAAGTTCCTTGTTCAGCTAGAGTTGTGAGAGAGATGTTGGCACTGCATCTCCAATAGAACCAATACACTGAGGGCTAAACCTAAACTTGTGCAACAGAGTCAAAGGAAAATCTGTGTAGCAGCCTCCTGGCACAACTCAGCAAGCTGCACTAGCTGGTTGATTTGATCCAGTGCCCACGCTCATCTTCTGCATCGAAGACCAGACCCAAGGCCTTATTTGTGGAGAATGCTGCACAGACAGCTGCAGTCTCCCATCCATCTACCTCAAGGCAGACTCATAAAGCATACTGCTGTGGTTTCAAAGGCATCAACAAGATCGTTCTGTAACCCGTCCAAACCTCAGACTCTGCTCAGATTGCTGAACGAGGAATGAAACACTGCTCTGCAAGTTTTTCTTTTTTGTTCATTGCAAAGTAGTCAAAATAAATAGACTGTCAAGTTACATGCTGCATTTTTTCCAAGAAAATGGATTTGAACTAGCCCAACTATAAAAAGTAGATAGAAAAAAAGACCTGAATTCCCACTGCATCATTCATGTACTCATGCTCTTGAGAATTTGATCAAAGAAGTGACCCTGTGGACCAAATATTGCTAATTTTCCATCTCTCTCCCCCAGATGGCTGCTAATGTCTTTAAACAATGGCAAACACTTCCCAAATGTCATCTTATGGTACTTACTACTGAAGGAGGCCAGACGCTCCATTCCTTTCCCTTGGCAGTGTTCTTGCTCCTCTGAGTAAAATTTGTCTTGCCTAAAAGCCCGTAGTGTAAGCCTTGCCCCAACCAGTACGTCCAAAACCGGTATTCTCTCCCTGCAGACGTCTCTCACGCAGCCCTCACAGATAAGATCCTCCCAGAGCGTCCTGAACACAAAAGCAAAAGGGCTGTCAGCAGTCTTTGTAACAGAGAACATTTGACATGGCTGAGAGTCTGTTTTCTGTGTATGAGAAGAAATCAAATGCAGAGAGGTGGCATACAGTGTAAGAAGAGATGAGAAGTGATGGGAATATAAGCCAATTCTGAACTGAGGCTTTCAGTGCAAATGTATGTGCTGAGCAATGCAAGAAAGTGTTTTGCACCTCCAAGAAGCACTGGAAGAGAACGAACAGGTTAGAGGTGGCATGGACACAGCAGTGCAAAAATCTACCACACTCATGTCAGCGTTGACTGTGTAGCAGCTCCCATGAACAGGCCTGATTCCCCAGCACCTGTACAGTGAGGTTCTACACCACTGTCCACCATCAGGGAATTGAGTTGCTTTCCATTGCAGGACCTCTAACATGTCTCACTTTTACACGGTATTTTTGCTGGGAACGGCTCAGGCTTCTCGCTTACTGAAAATCACATTTCTCTTTCTGCACATGAGCAGCACATGAGGAGACATGGTCCTGCATGCAGGGACACCATTGAAGCTGTGCACCCCCCCCCCCCCCCGCAGACGGCAGCTGCTTCAACCCAGGCTACACATCCCTGCACGTCTGCTTGGATCCTCAGAGAACCAAGAGCAACTTCCAGGCTGGGCTTTTTACCCCGTGGCCCTAAGTGACGCCGCACAGCCACCTCTGGGCACTCACTTCACTCTCTGAATTGCAAACCGCTCTAGCCCCGTCTACAGGGCTGCCTGAACCTGTGCACCACTGACCCGCCGGTGCACTGCCAGCACCAAAGGACGTTCCTGCAACAGCCCTGTGCACTCCTCCAAACTCCACTCCCCCACATCCCACTCCCCATATCCCACTCCCCCATATCCCCAATCCCCATAACTCCAATCCCACATATCCCACTCCCCCAAACCCCACTCCCCATATCCCCAGTCCCCACATCCCCAATCCCCCATCCTACTCTCCCACTCTCCCATATCCCACTCTCCCATATCCCACTCCCCCATATCCCATATCCCACTCCCCAAACTCCACTCTCCCAAATCCCATATCCCTCTCCCCCATATCCCACTCCCCCGCATCCCGCATCCCACTCCCCCATATCCCATAGCCCACATCCCACTCTCCCCTATCCCAGGCCCCGTCCAGCCCTGGCGGACCCTTCTTCCCCACCACCGCCAGGCGGCGCCCTCCGCCCCGCCCGGCCCCGCC